GCTGCTGCTGCTGCTGCTGCTGCTGCTGCTCCTACTGCTACTGCTACTGCTGCTATTATTATTTTTGTTATTACTACTGCTGCTACTACTGCTACTGCTACTGCTACTGCTTCTGCTTCTGCTACTGCTACTGCTACTGCTACTGCTACTGCTACTGCTACTGCTACTGCTACTGCTACTGCTACTACTAGTAGTAGTACTACGACGACGACGACGACGATGGCGACGACTCCAACGCCCTCTAGCTCCAGCTCCATCTCCTGCTCCTGCTTCTACTGCTTCTACTGCTGCTACTGATATCGCTACAGTTACGGCTACTGCTGCTGCGTGCTGATGCTGACGGTACTGCTGATGACGCTGCTACAGCTACTGCTACTGCTAGTCTGCTACGGGTAGCAGCAGCAGCAGGTGCAGCGGCAGCAATTGCGAAGCTAGTTGTTAGATGTTGTGGCAGTATGCTGGTGTCCTTACTGTGGTGCTGCTCTTGCTGCCTCTATCCTGACGATGAACTCAGAATGAACTCTACTAGTTTTCACTTCCCGGCATGTATTACCACACATTCCCAGAGGATGCCGCCTTAGGCGCTTCCTCCGCGGCCTGAGTGGTACGACGTTCTCGCACGGCTAGCATTGCGAGTTTGGCACAGCTTATGGAATAGGGGGTGATGCAAACCGCCATACTGTCAGCAGGAGGGGCCGACACGGAGCAACACGAGAGCAAAGGAATCGATGGTTGTCGAGGCTATGACTGAACGGTTGATCATAATGATAATAATAATAATCATAATAGTCATAATAATAATATTAATAATAGTAATAATAGTAATAATAGTAATAATAGTAATAATAGGAATAATAGGAATAATGCACAGCTTTGGGAGAAGGTGGCTGGGCGATGCAGCTGGTGCCCTGTGATTGCTCTTTCCGCTCCGCCCCATCTTCGCTGGACATCTGGGGAAGGCTCGGGCATAAAGCCTAAAATAAGGGGTGCCTTATTTTGGGGCCCTTTAAATAAGGGTCCTACTATTTGGGGTACTATATCAGGGTCCCCTACTGAGTCTACTGCTTTGCAAGGATGGAGACCAGCAATTGACCCTCGCAAGTGCTTGCTGCCACAAGCGGAGAAGATTAGCTTCACCAGGCCAACTATGCGACCTGCGGCCTCGGATCAATGCACAACCTCGACTCTAAATTCCCGATCAAACATATAGATTCTATAAATCCAGATGCTTGGGGCACAAGGCTTCCATTGCTGGCCCCTAAACCGTCGGCGCGAAAGCCGCACACCCTGAACCCCAAACCGCCTCTAACCCTTACGCTCCAATTGGGCCCCAGCAGGCTCAGCCCCGTCGGCTGGTGCGGCAGCAGGTGCTGCTGCTGGGGCCGCCTGCTCCCACTGAAAGGGTAAAAGAGTAAACCGTGCACAACATAGCATACTCGTGTGTGTTTCTATGCTTACATGCACGGGCATGCCTAGTAGTATGCAGGTGTCTATAGACATATGCATGTGCATGCCACCGTCTACGGGTAAAGTCTCTCTCCGCACCACCCGGTACTTAGGCGCGTTGCAAGCCCGACTGTCTTGGAGATGATACCTCTCTCAATCTGAATATGCACTCTGAATTCCCGCGCTTTGCAAGATTGATACTGCAAATCACCGTATTCCCAAAATCCAAGCCTGCAAATACCTGATTGTTCAAGCGGCCGCAGAAACCTTAAGTAGTGCTCGGAAACTATCATATCTCTAGGCTGTTGCAGTCCCCCTAAACCCTGAACCCTAAACCCTAAAGAGTCCTCACCATCCTCGCAAAACCTCCTCTTTGTCTGTATAGCCTCTGATTGGGTCTCTGACAAGCGGATTACCCTTGCCAAACGCAAGAATTGAGGATGCAGGGCCATGCTCATAGACAGCAGCAAGCTTTCGCAAGTTCAGATCCACAACAGCAAGCTGCGAAATGCTGCATGCAGGATCAGTACACCCCAAATCCTAAATCCTAAACCCTGAACCCTGAATCCTAAAGCCTACTAAACCTAAACCCTGAGCACCTGGCCTGGGGCATTGCCTGCGGCATGCCGGCTGGCATGGCGGGCATGCCACCCATGGGCATCGCCTGACGTTTGTCTCTGAGTTGGCTTTGGATTTTTTGTTTTGTCTTGGGCTTTCGGGTTTACCAAAACCCTAAGCCCCAAACAGGAGCTTATGGCCTAGGGGTTCAAGGCTTTGGCTGTGGGCTCTATGCTTTCGGAAATGCAGAGACATGGTGCCATCACTGGACACTGCAATGCGGTATCGTCTAATGCTTTCGGTCTTCATGTCATGCCAAGATGTGCGAAAAGACCGAACGAACAAGCGACAGAGAGAGAGAGAGGGAACGAGAGAGTCGCCCACTCTTGCCCAAGATGATCAACAGCTACTTGTTGAAACATCGTTCGACAACCAAGTAGCATCAGCAGCTAAAACAAGATCTTCGCAGAATGCGCACAGCGCGATCCCGTCTCTAGCAGTGTGCCCCGAAGCTACAGGATACCCCTTCCTTCATGCGGCCAGAGAGTGCAAAGAGTTTGAAGACTGGCCGGCAGATGTAAGCAGTTGTAGAAAGCTTACATCCAGCCACAAGCCACATGCACATGCATACTCTGCATAAATATATATATATATATATACACACACATCACATCTGTCACTACACTACACAGGCTACATATATACTGAAAATAGCTTTTAACAGTACCGTGTAGCCAAAACACATGATATGGTATTACGGTACAATTTATTCTATAGCACATGAATACTGTGCACTGCGCGAAGTCTCGGGTTTAGGGAATGGTCGGGACCGCACAGCTTCGGCTTTCAGATGTTAACCAAGAGCGAAGATCTTCAGTTTGCTACCAGTAAAGAACATCTGGAAGTCGTGAGGCTACTGCAGCGCCGGTTTCGCCAGTCTTTCAGCTGTGGGTATTGCCGTCACTGTGACTGCTTCTGTAAGCGAATGATTAGATAGATCAAGCCTGCACATATGTGCGTAGCAAGTGCATATCTGTATAAATCGCATTTTTTGTGCCGGCACATATGTCTAGTTACATACGATGTAAACAAATGTGTCTGTATAAATACACACACATGTTCATGTGTATATATAAAAAAGAATACATGTACATCTGTACACGTGTGCGCATACATTTGTAAAAGCATATGTCTACGTGTATCAGACACATGCATACACATATACCTACAAGTATACACACACACACCTACATACATATATACATACATACATACATACATACATACATACCTACCTACGTACGTACATACATACAGTCAGTCAGTCAGTCAGTCAGTCAGTCAGTCCGTCGGTCAGTCAGTCAGTCAGTCAGTCAGTCAGTTATTATTCACTCATTAATTTCATTCTTTCATTCATTCATCCATTCATTCATAGATTCGTTCATTCGTTCGTTCATTCATTCGTTCGTCCATTCTTTATATACACATACATACGTACAAACGTTCATAAATACATAAATACATACATACATACATACATACATACATACATACATACATACACACATACGTACATATCCAATTTCACATACAAGTACATAAACGGTGACATACAGTTACATACACAATGACATATACTGATACATGTGCAAGCACATATACATTTTCATATTCATATGGCATATGCATATACACACTTGCACACAACACCTCTTACTTCCGTGATTTCATGCGTGCTGTCGATAGTCGAATGGGTGCTGGCCGAGGGGCACCCCCGACCACTCCTTGGAACATCCCCACCGGATGCGGGAACCTTTCGTCTTCGGTCGGTGGGGGTTTCACGATGTTCCGAGCTTTGCGGGTTCTACGTGGGGTTTAAGGACTGCGGCCGGGTAGGTTTTGTGAATCACGGCCGTGAGAGCAGTATGGACGAGTCTACTCTGAGAGTCGGGTCTGCTTTCTACATGCCAAGGATCTGCTGCTTTTGCTGCTACCGTGGCAAGTATGCTCGCCTCCATGTTCCAGCAGCCCCGAGCCCCTCCCGTAGCAAGGTCTAAAGTCTAAAGCTTGTTAGTCATGGATCATACAAACACAGAGGCCTGGCCGGAGCTGAAAGCAGTGAGCTGACTTCGAAAGAGAAGGTTTCGTACGGCCCACAAACAGAGCACCACTGCATTAAAGCAGATCTTCGTCTCTGCCAGAAAGATATTCCACTCTGTCGCTCAGAACTTCTCTGACATGAGGGCCTGCAAAAATAATGAACATCGTTTTGGGGTGTGCTATGCGATACTTTTGTTAGCGGGATGACATTACGAAACTATTCGGACCGGTGTATCAGGCATGCAAGCGGCGGTAGCCGAGGCAATCCGTCAGCTGGCTGCAACTTCTCCTTCGGGTGACTTGGGAGAGTAAGTTTGGACAGACAGGGGCTGCACGATTGCTGTGGGGAAGTTGGAGGAGCTCTTAACTTCGGGTTGTGCAACGATGTCACCAAGACTCTCTGAGTCTCCATTCTGCGTACTGTCTCGACCACCGCCCAAGGAAATTTTGCACAACGAGTGCTGCAATCCAGACAGCAAACCCAAAGCCTAACAACACACCTGGTGGCAACAGTGCTGTTGCAGTGACAATAGTCGACACACCGGTCATCTTTCAGCCGGCCCTGTCTTGCTTCGCTTGAGAAGTAGTTCGGACTCTTCCCGTTTAAGTACTGTCGGGGCCTCAACAATTAGAATAGCGTTTAGGGGCATATTATACTATAGTTGTAATAAGGAGCCCTCAAAATATCCCATATTAACTTCACGAACTCCCGATTGAATCGAGGACACTCCCAGCCTGGCACAAATCGCACAGGTCTGCTGCCTCTGCGGCAAAGGCTCAATCTACGAATCATTGCGGCAGACTTCACGGTTTAGGGTTTAGGGTTTAGGGTCAAACGATGGAATGAAAAGCATCCATCAAATGGGCCTCTAGACACAGCATCGATCCTTCTCTTATGCCTCAGACTTCTACAGTCGGGCAGTTGATTCACGACTATCACTCATATACTAGACAAACTATCTTTCGGGCTATCCATCCATGTGGACAACGTGCACAGAACCCTGACTCAATGTCACGGCTCTTGGTGCTGGCTGTTCAGACCGCAGCTCCGTTTTTTGGTGCTATGATCCCCGGCTGGCACGAGAAGCAAAATAGCGAGTATGATGCCTCATGATGCAGTGCTTGCCACGGTATCGTCTTCTACCACGTCCCCTAAGGGACACATGAATACGAGGACAGACTTAAGGCCTTTGAGGCTCTGAGATGGCATGCTGCAGTTTGATGGTTTTTTTGGCAAACTGGGGAAGTACCGAAGGGAGGGCGGCAGCCTCGGGCATCACATTGGGGAATCTGGCTTATCCCTCCGTGGGCCAAGATTACACCCGCCTTCTCTGGGCAGCCAGAATGAAAACGTATGGGTCGGTTTCCAGCAGTAGCTGTCGCGAAAGATCGGTATGGGATGGGTGGAGACTACTCGTGAACAAGCAGCTTGCAAGGGCTTGAGCAGGAGGAGACATAGCTATGATCAGTGATGCCTCCACCAGAGTCAGGGAAACGATCTCATCGACCAGCCTCAACACCTCCAGGAGTTGAATGTTGCTGGGATGAGCTTTGTTTGCGACATTGCAGCTCAGGCTCAGGGTGCTTCTCGATGTTGGGCGCTTGTCTCGATCTATCTACCGCTCCCAGCACGGCGGAGCTCTCGTGTCGGCAGCCTCAACCCGCGCCCCCGTCCCTGCCCGCTGTTTTTCACACGGTGCAAGCCAAGGACAGCGCGTCCTCATGCTGCATAGCCGCCCCCTTTCTCACTGCTTGGGGGATCCAAGATCTCGGAAAGATACCTCGTGCTCTCCTGGCGCACTGGTACCCATGGCAGACACTCCCTGAACCTCCACACTCCGACTGAGCCTGAGATTCTAGACGGCTTGAGCCCCCTTTTGGCTCTGGAGCTTAGGGTGTAGGACTTCAGGTCTAGTCAGGGCCTGGGCTTTCGGGTCCTTCTGCACGGCAAGCAACATCGCTGGATCAACATCCGGTATGTTCCTGGGCAGGCGATGCATAGAAGGCTGCCGTGCATCTTCGCTGGGGGCTATCAGATTGTTCGCGGGCCCCTATCTTCGTGTTAGGTCTGCGCCCCTAAAGACTTGGGCCCACGCGCTCTATCTCAAGCACCATCAAGGACCAAGGCACAAGCTCAGGAAGACGAGAAGACCGAAGCGCTTCGAGAGCTTCTGCCCCAAGTTGCTGCCAGGACCATCTACCTGCTTTAGGGTTTCGGGCTTGGGACGTCTCGATGGCGGGATTCTGGGTGGCATGGTGGTTGTTGAGCTTAAAGCTACCACCCAAAACCCCTAAACCCTAAACCCAACCCCTCGATGGCCCCTCTGCCTCTGAGCGCCTCCAAGGACCTCTAGCCTTGCCCTCTGAGGGCCTGATAGCTGGCCGGAGGGCCGTTTAAGTTCGTTCTGCAGGGTTTGGGGTCGTGGCATACCCAAAGATACCCCGAGTCTTCGAAAGACTCAGGGCAGCACAGGGCTGAAGCGACTACACACATGGCGGTGACCACCATCGTCATTGTTGTCACCAGAACCTTCGAAAACAAAGTCGCCCTGATCCTCATCGCGATCGTCATCAGCAGCATCATCCTCATGTTCATCGTTCTCGTCGTTACCATCAGAGGCATCAGCGAGCATCATGACTTTCTCGGCCCTCATCGCTGCCAGCAACAACATTCCGGTTAGCAGCAGATCATCGCTGTTGTGGCCCTCGACGAGGGTCGTGACGTGGTTACCAGCACGAAGTCTTTTGGCGACTGTTACCTTCATCGCTGTCACCTCCTCCTCTTCCTCCTCCTCCTCCTCCTCTGGACTGCTGCTGCTGCTGCTGCTGCTACGACGACGACAGCGAACAAATCAACGTGGTCAATGACATCCGTATTATCAACATTTTCAATCCTGTCGTTCCGACACCGTCCAGTCCAATCCTCTTGGAACCCCTCGCCTCACCCCTGAGGGAAGCGACGCAGGGCTGTGGGTCAAAGCGCGTTGGAGTGGCCACATGGAGGTCCTCTCAGGCAGAAGGGTTTCGGCCCGCGACAAGAACTCTAGAAAAGCTAAACGACATGAAGCCCATAAGTACACCAGCATTAGAAGTGGTAGCAAGTATACATCGTGTTCGGACCAACCAATAAATCTGCTGAGCCCATGCTTGCAAGCACAAGCTGCATCCTCATCACTGCAACCGCAAGCCCATATGGCCCAAGTCAAGTACAATTGGAGTAGGGGTGGGGTATATTATACTATAGTTACTATAACAGGCTTCTATGTTAGACTGTTACCGCAAGGACAATAACCTTCTGTCCCTCAAAGTCCCGACCAAAAGGAAAACCCTCAACACCGGTACCTCCAGCCCCTGGCCGCCAATCCTCGGGCTCTCGGAGTCGTGATGATGATGATGATGATGATGATGGTGGTGGTGGTGGTAACGATGATCAAGGTCATGAACGTGACCGTGAACATGACATGATCATGATCTTGATGACGGCAGTGAGCAGCAATTCAAAGATAGCTTCATCATGACTAGTTAGGGGCCCCAAAAAAGCACATAAGCAAAAATTAGGATCCGGATATCCCATAAATCCCCTTATATTGAAGCCCAATAAGGTAGGGATATCCCGAAAAAAAGCTTATGCTTATGTGCTTCTTGGGTCCCTAACTAGTGGTCTTTCCACTCTCGCATCACAGGTGTCAGTATTCTCACGTCTCTTGCAAGTATTGTTATCATCGTCTCAGCGGCTCTTGCTGCAGCCTGTCGCTCTTATACACCAGATGCTATCTTCAGCAGCAGGCAGCGTGGGGAAAGAACTCCCAAATTTTGGTCAAAGATAGCTTTGAAGCGAGGAGCCAGAAGAAGACGGAGCCTTCCAGCAGGGTGACATGGAAATGAAGCGGCTGCCCGGCGCAGAGCATACCTAGGCCACAACGAGGGAACCTTACCGGAGGGAGCTAAGGGACAGCGCGAGATTTAGGAAGGAAGGATCTCGGGTGCTCTAATCTCATGAGGCCCACATAGTTCTAATACAGCTCTGTGATCAGCCACTGGTCTTGAAGATCTTCGGGAGTTGCCGCTCTGCCCCGCCGCCTGCAGGCGTCGCCATTCTGCCCAGATCCGTACTTTGCCTAAGCCTTGGGGTTCGATCGCTTGGTGACTGGAGCATCTCAGGGGGGAGTTGAGTAGTCAAGACAACACCTCGGGCTTTTGGGAGTCGTAAGCTGTGCCCGAGCAGTTGAAGTGGATGTACACATCTGGCGCAAGGGCTCGGCACACCATGGTTCGAGCCGTCAGGTGCTTCAGATATGCAGCGGACATGAAACAGCAGCGGCTCAGGCTCAGACCCCTAGACCTAAATCTGCCTGAACCTTCAACTGGAACCCTCACATGTTCCAGCCCGGAGCCCGAAAATGTCGGGAGTATGATAGGAAAGTCTTACTCAGTAGACTAAGGCGTCTGGTATACATACTACACCACTATAAGACTGTAAAGAACTCTAACGGTTGATGTGACTGCTAACTCTTCAGACCAGTAGTAGTAGTAGTAGTAGT